TGTGGTCTGTGGCGGAAGATTTGACCAATTCATTTTGTTCTATTTTCTTTACTTTAGGAACTGTACCACAATATTACATATTGTATTCCAAATCAATATAAGCCAAGGCATAAGCAAACAAGAAATAGCCATCTCCATTGGTTGGATATGTACTCGAATCAATATTCAGCATGCAATATATCAAAAAGTTTGTCTGTTAGGCCGCAAGATCTGCACAGGCGATATTTGGATATGGTCAAAACAAAAGGCCAGTCTGCAGCCTGTTTATACACCAGAGCTATAAATACATGTAGAAGTTTGTTTTGTATTTTGTATGGGTCCGAGGAGGTTTCTTTTGTTTATTCATATTACAGGATGATGCTTATCAAATGATTTCCTGAATTATTTAAATCATCAGAATTTAATCTTTCCTTATTTAATTTGATGATCGAAGACTGTTGATTCCAGAAGGAAATGGAGGTTTTATTTTTTGCAAATTCTTTACAATCAACCTCTTAATTACTTAATGTAGGCTTTTTTGAATGAGTTCAAAGTTAGAAGATGATCTGACCTCTTTTCTTTCTTTCTTTTCTATAAACTAAAATATAAGTCTTTGTTTGCCTTGCTCCATCTTTGTACTTCTGGAAGAAAAAAGTAAACCCCGATTGTTTGCGAGTGCATGACTTGTCAAATGCCGAAGAAAGTTGATTGAATGCTCCAGTATCAAATTATGAATTTCCAAAAACACACATAACTACTCAATTAAACTTGCCTTTCATGGATCACCAAATTCATCATGATCAAAAGGTGGAGAGAAAGGTAGAGAGAGGGAGAGAGGAGAAAGAAAGAGAGAGAGAGAGAGAGAGTGAGTAACAGTGACTGGAAAATCAAAGCATTCCAAACTTTGGAGGGAATTTTGCATCGCACCCTTACAGTAGATGACTGGACTTTTCTTTGTACCTGTCAGGATACCATAGGCCATTGGCCCTGAATCGGCATACCTTGGGCATGAATCATTTTACAGTGAGCAATTTTCGATAAACGGGCGATAGGTGGTGAACAAGAGTATCGGGTAAACAAGCAATCCAGAGACTTGTAAACAAGCCAAATAACACCGGTACTGAATAGAATGAGGAATGTCACACCACCCACATACATAAACCAGTGGGTTGCCCCTCATGCAGCTGAGTACCGGTATAAGGCTTTAATCCCACAAGCGCCATTCAGAAGCGGAAGTTTTCTCTTGATTCGATGATGCGCTTAGGATCTTCTGCTAGCCACCGGGATTTGAAATGGTCCCAAAGAATGACGGGCATTCAAGTGTAGTCTTCCTGGCTCTAGACGCCATCTGTGGTCACTGGTCAACATACGCTGTACATTAGTATGAGCATGGACCAACATGTAAACAAATGTATGTGTACATGAATAGGTTCTTGGTTCACATGAAGCGGAAACTAGATTGCTGTGGGCCTTCCACGTGTTAGGCATAAGCCTACACTTAAAAGTGTAAATGACTAATCTGACTCCAAAGATATGAATGAACATGTCATATCTTGACATCAAATTCCAAATGTATATTAAAATATATAAGCCTATAAGATACATGCCTAAGCATCATGTTGCTCTGTATGTTATCATTTAAAGGGATGCTGGAATTGCTGGTGTTATCAATCACACACACACAAGTATTCACTGTGCAAGAAGTCTTTTCTTATGCAGCCAGTAAGTTAAATAACTAATACACCCAATTATTGATAGACTTTGAACACTTGTAAAGGCAAAATGTTAAGAATTTTTAGAGAAGCATGTTTCCACTCATTTTTGTTCTCACTCTGTATTTGTAAAAAGTCTGTAATACTGTTTTCACACTGGCAATATTTTGCTTAACCCCGTACTATAGGTGAGGTTAAGGGGGGGTCTTAGCCCCACCTATAGTACGGGGTTAAGCCTATTCCATTTTCTGTTCAGACTGGTTTTTACCAAAGTGGGCTAAAGTTGGCTAACCCCACCTATAGTACGGGGTTAACTAACCCTGCAAAATAGCAGGGCTAACTCCGCAATTGTGGTGCTAACTCCTGCTAACCCCGCAATTGCGGTGCTAAGCAAATGAATGAGAACAGAAACGAAAAATAGTCCGGTACTACGCAATGGAGCGTATCGCAGCTGGCCAGATGCGAAGTATGTCCAATCATAACATACACGATATCCAGGGTTAACGAAATGCAGTGAGAACAGCGGGAATTTTCTTATTCCGGAATAGGCGCTAGTACGGGACTAAAATAGGCGAGTGTGAAAAGCCAAAAAAAATAGTCCGGGGTTAAGGATAGTACGGGGCTAAGCAAAGTACGGGGTTAAGCAAAACCAGTGTGAAAAGAGTTAAGTGTAACCTCTTGTTGTTTCCCAGGTCATTGGCCACAGGAGGGGGGGGGGGGTGCGCAGAATATAAGCCCCCTCCCCCCAGCTCCCACTCCCAACAAAAAGAGGGACAAAATAATAGTCATGTACAATGTAATAGTAGGGTCTCTCACACAAACACCTTGTATGCTGGCACCTGTAATCTCTGTATTTGTCCATTATCGACTATAAAGCAGATTGAGAAAAACTGGTTGGTATTTTATGGTGATCCTCAACAACTGGCTCGGGACAAACAGCCCCAATTATCTGCCAAAATAGCTCATAAGGAGACGCAGTTAGAATGGCAAAGAATGGAAGAAAGCAACGAAGGCAAATCTTTCCTTTCCTGATTAAAGATCTTTAGACTTCTAATTGTTATAAGATTCCGAACATTGAAGGATGTTATTGCGCAGAGGGAATTAGGCTGTAAGGTATTTTCGAGCAGTGAAAGAAGATGTTTGTAATGAGAAAGGTTTTCCTTTGGATATGGAACAAAAGTTGCCCAGAGTTCCTTACCAGACAAAAGTTTGCATTAAAAAAAATTCTACATTTAGATTTAAAAGACCATAATTACCCTGTAACACTTTGTGTTCTTCTTAAGAATGCTAATTCAAAGGACCCCCTTGTGGCATTATTCTCTCAAAATTGGCTATTTTGACTGCTCATGTGCTCATGAAAATACATCTGAAAGTCTCCATCTTTAAAGAAATTCTAGTCAAGATATTGAGTCATAATCATTCATATATTATCAAGTGATCTGTGATTAATTTTGATATTGGTCACAAAGATTTTCAAGTTAAACAAAAATGGATGTTTGTGATATAATTATAATGAGCAGTTTCTAACTATAAAATCCTAATAATTCAGAAAGTATTTTATAATTATAATTATGATAAGAAAGGTTTCATCATTGTGATTTTATCTGCATGTATGTAAAACTGATTTTGTTTCAAAATGTAAAGAGAGATGCTAGCAAATATATATTAGCTCTTCCAATGCCACATTATTTCTTATTTTCATTGGTACATGATCAACTGTAAATGAGCGGTCATCCACTTCCTGTATCGACTGAAACAGTAGTCAAAGCACTAGAAGTACTTGAAAGGGAGCCCCCTCATGAATATTCAAATATGCACACCTTCTCAGCCCCAGACGATGAGTTGTTAGAATCAACAGCGTATTTCCCCAGCAACCTGCCACGGTTACGGTTGCCCCATCCCATCCAAGGCACTTGTATAATTCTTGGACGTTAATTTGAAGAGCTGACAAGTGTTTTTTATATCTTTGAGGAAGTGTTGGAAGGACAGAGAGGGAGAGGCCGGTGAGGATAAGGTGAAGTTAAAGGTGATGGACGATGAGGTGAGGAAGCCAGAGAGAGGAGAAATGTTGAGGGAGAGAGAGAGAGGGGGAGGGGGGTAGAGAGGGGCAAAAAGAAAAAGGAAAACAGCAAAGTATAATGGGAGAAAGAAAACATGAGAGAAAGAAACAGAAAGAAAGATAAGAGGGAAACATTTTGCAATATGTAATTTAAGATGTTATTTGTATGCTTGTCTGTATGTATTGAAGGCATACGTTCCTCTGCTGAGAGTTAGAAGGGGGTGAAGTCATTTCAGCATACAAACTAAAGATCCATCTTGCTCTCAGCAGCATGCTTCCATGCTTGTCATGTTCCCTTGTTTCCTTTATGAAGTTTGATGGCTGTCAAACACACTTCATCCAACCTGCTTGTAGCCTTGGGGCTATTTATTATCCAACTTTTCAAACACGAGGAGAAGAGTGGGAGTTGTTGAAATTCAGGTTTCAAATGTTCAGAGACACGTTTAAATGTCAGTAGTTCATCAGAGATACATCGCTTCTCTCTCGAGGTCATCAGCGTGTCTTTCGGAGGGCAAACCCCCCAAAATGATGACTCTGGAAAATGTTCACCACCCCTTTCCTTGTCTTGTAGTAGTGCTGCAATCGTTGCAAGATGATGCACAGTCGCACATGTGCAGGTGCACCCAACTCTTTTGGCAGGTTAATCTTGTAAAGTAAAGGTTAATGCTATTAGTTGATTCTGTAAATTTCCCAGAGGGACGGCATGTCCAAAACAACAGACATATTCTGTTTCCTCTGGGGCGGTGAAACATCAGATGTGTTTTAAAGTAACAAACATTAATAGCGACCGGCAGCTTTTAAAGACCCTGTAAATTGCAGAGCAACGGCAACGGCAACAGTATAACTTCTTCAAGAAAAGTGAACAACATTCATCAACAGCAGTTTCAAACAATCCTTCTGGGATGTCAGTTTGGAAGTTATTGAGATGACTGTGGCTAATGAGGTGCCTGTCTTCTTGCCCGGGAGAATATTAAACCATCAAGTGAAACAAGCAACAGACATGTCCAAAATAAAGTACTAAAACACGTACATCGATGTTAGGATTGAAGTTGAAAGTACAGTTTACTTGTAGATCAAGTAACTGAAAGGAACAAACACGTGAGGGGAAAATAATTTTTACATCGGATAACAGATATTTAGTATTCATCATCTTTGTTCACTATTGTTACTTTGTATCATCTTCATCTACTTTATAAGCCAATTTCTCAACTTTCTTGTTATTAATTTTTCTTTTATTTGTACCCTCACAGGCTTGCTTGCAGCTACCAAAATTTGGGTAAGTCTTTGGTCTTTCATATATTTTTTTCATTCTCTCCTCTCTCCACCCCTCCCCCCCCCCCTTCTTCTCTCCCTCTTCTCTCCCTATTACTTCACACAGTAAACATACCTTTTTTCTCCTTGTTTGCCAGGTGTCAAAGTTGTATTGCATTCTCTGGACATAATTTTGACAACTGACATTCAATTCCAATGTAGACTGCTTATATTAGGACAGATCTTCGCTGGGTCCAGTCCGTTTTTTTCTTCTGTGAAAGCAAATATGCCAATATTTTTTCTTTGCACAACAACTTGTTCAGTAATAATCCCCAAGAGAAACTCCTTGTCCATTCCAATTCTCTAAATGGAACTGAAAACACAGAACTGGTTTGACACAAATATAAACAACTGTAAAAATATTTCATTTATGCTCGGTCCTATCCCAACACTGTCATATATATCCATTTTTTTTTACAATTTATGGTTGAATATTGTGCAAGCGGTTGTATCTTTTTCAACGGGGTTCAAGTAGTCAGTTTTGGACAAATGTTTGTGCTGCTGATTGTGTCATTCTTCGTATCGTATCGTCGGTTGAGTACCAGAAGAGCGTTAACACCTATCCTTTAACAGAGATTTAATTAAGGCCCTTCTGGCTCTCAACAGACAATTTACTCATTAATCCCTGCACCTCTGCACATCTATTTTCAACTTTGTTTTCCCACAATCTTGAATTCTTGATCCTTTGTTTGAGTGGGTACATGATTATTTGTAGGCCTACATGTATGTGGGTGCCAGCAATGTTTACCACAATGATGAAAAGAGTTTCAGTCAATTTCGTTTGAATATTCTATTTTATGAGAATTTGACAGGAAATGTAATACACGTGAACAAAAGCTTATAAGTTCCTGTTTTATACAATAGTAAAGTTCTGTCCTTTTTCACCTACTGCTGATAGATATTGGGTTACTCTGAGTAATGAACATCATATGATTATGATTGGCATATGTCAAAAGTCAAGGCATACGACAAACACTTGCAGGACAGATGTGGTTTGGACGTGGAAGGGAGGGGGTGAGGATGGTGGTTGTGGTACGAGTGACGGTGGTGGTGGTGTAGCCATAATCATCCAGAATATGCCAGCCATAAACTTGACCTAATGCTACTTTAATACTGCTCTACACATTGAGCATAATACATTACTATTTTGTAGACAAATTTCAAGTTAATTTAACATTTGAAATTACATAACACAAGATCAGTGTAAAGTGTATGTTACTTAGGAATCAAAGAAGATAATGTAGAACTAAATATTTTGTGAACAGCTTGAAGTTTGTAGATAATATTTAGGTACTTTTTTACTTTTATTTTGGTATGTTCCTTTAGGACATGCAGATTAGAAACTATCAAGGAAATTCTCTCTTATCTTATTGGTCAACATAGGTCCAATCATTTTGATACTGTCCAGGTTGTATTCCCTGCAACATTGAAATGATGTTAAATGCGTGATTCATCCACTATCAAGGAATTTAAGAATGTTTAAAGTGGTGAAATGTTAATGAAACGGAAACGGAAACAGCTTGTTAATGGGTTTAGTGAGAAGTCAAGTGCTTGACACCGAAGTATTTGGCACCTTACCTGAGAATGCTGGCTGTACAAACAAACTGGTAACCACTGTATTTGAAACCAATCAGCATAGGGCAAGTGGCATGGGGGCAAGTGCCCCCCTCCCCCCCCCCCCAACACACACACCTTCTTGGTCAACATGTTTGAAAGATGGATGGGCAAGCCATTCGGTGAATTTTGGAATGATTTGAAATGGCAATGGGTATTACTGTAAAATCAGAAAGTTGCTTGCCATGGTTCTATCACCAAAAAGCTTTGATGTTGCAAATTTTTTGATTTTACAATGAAGAATACACTCAATCAAGTATTTGACTCCAACTATTTGACACCAAACCCAAGAATATTTGCTGTACAAACAAGACCGGTAACCACTTCCTAGACCAGACTGACTGGACAAGGGGAGGGCAGGTGGATTTGTTTTGGTTCCCCCCCCCCCTTATTAAAAATATGGAGATTGGAAGGCACAAACTTGGACATCTAGATGATATGGGTTTTCAGTGGGTCAATATAACGAGCACTTAATCAAGTGTTTGACACCCAAGTATTTGACACCAAACCCAAGAAGGATGGCTGGACAAACAAAGCAGGTAACCACTGCCTCGACTTGGACTTGAATGCATACCGGTATGTACTGACTGACTGGAGTGGCTGGACAAGATTTATGACGTGTGGGGGAATATTGTGTGGGTGAACATTTCCATATTGATGGTGACGGAGATGGACAGGCTGGGCATATGGAATTCTGGATGATTTGTGTTTGTTGAACAACTGCTGGACATGTGTCAGGCTGTGCATGTCAAGGTGGGGTCTGATGCAGGAGTTTGATGGATGGGAATTTATTTGGTAAGACCCGGAAGAAGGGCAGGGGCGAAAATGTGCCCTCTTTGCTCACTTGCCATGGGCAATCAGGTATTCTTTGAAATGTTCATTTGAGCAAACAGTGCATTACAGTTCATACAGGTAGGAATTTGTGTAATACAGGTGTAAACAAAAAAGATAATAGAGGCTACATCCCTAATTGCCCCCCCCCCCTCTCTCTTTGGACAAGCAAATGATCCAATGTTTAAAAGCAACAGCTCAAAATACTTGTGTGTATAAAAAAAGCCTGGGTAATGATAATGTTGCAGGGCCCTCGGGGACAACAGAAATAATAATAATGAGGCTACCCTGGGTAAACAAACAAGACATATTGTTGTTATTATTATCATTATATGTACTTGAACAATTTTTGTTCTTATTTATTTCCTCTTGACTGCAATATTTTCATCTTCATCAGTTAATCTTTAATAGATTTCACCCCGAGATAAAGATTCAATTATTCAATGTATTTAACTATTAAATATTGAACTATTGAAGAAACTAATCAATATCCAAAATACCGGAATGGAGGTCTACATGCACATGTAAAATATGGCCATGACAAAGTACTTGTGCAGTCTGCATTTCTTTGTTTCTTCCCGGTAACACCACCCTTTCCGGATTCAGATTACACATGTTCTACTTTGAGACAAAGTAAATCATTACTGCTAACAATGCATTCCGAATTCCGATCTGTCTGTTCTAGATTCATTTATTAAGAATACTTGAACCCATTGTTCATATCTCGATGCACAAACATGACTCATCTAAAATATGATCCTTTTTTTTTTCTTTCTTCTTCCACAAAACATATATTTGACTTTTCCATCAGGGTGGTGGTGGTAATAGACACTGCTGTCTGGCTGCATGTGCACTCACACTCACAATTGTATGTATGATACAGAGAGTGAGAGAGAAAGAGAGAGGGAGAGAGAGAGAAAGAGAGAGGGAGAGAAAGAGAGAGGGAGAGAGAGAGAGAGAGAGAGAGAGAGAGGGACAGTGAGAGAAAAGGGGGAAGAGAGAGAGAGAGAGAGAGAGATAGGGATAGGGATGGGAAGGAGAGAAGAGAGGAGACTCGGGAGAAAGACAGAGATCCAGAGAGGAAGATAGAGAGAGATAAGAGAGGGATAGGGAGAGAGATAGAGGTAGAGAGATGAAGGAGAGAAGAGAGGAGAGGCACAGAGAGACAGAGAGAGAGAGAGGAGAGGGGGAGGGGGAGAGGGGAAGGAAATAAATCAATAATTTAATGTAAACCTGTAATAATAAGGTGACAATGTGAGAAAGTGTCAGCCCTCTGTCTGAAGACTTATTGATTTAATTCCCGGTGGGGTCACTCAATGTGACTTCCGGACCGCATGACCGTTACCAAAATCGCGGAAAAAGGGGTCAATTTCAAGCAATGTCCGCGGACAAAATATTCCTCGAAATAAAGAAAATAAGGGGGCACAGGTGTCCCCGAAATTGATAAATAGGGGTCAGGAAAAGGGAAAAGAGAAAACCGGGAAGAAAAATTCTCGGAGCCGAGTCTTGTCCTTGAAATATGGTAAAATAGGGGTAAATTTGCGAAAGTGTCCTTACAATCTTATAAATAGGGGTATTCCAAAGTACGATTTTGTCCTTGTTTTGACGTAAAAAAGGGGGTTAAATTTCACAAAATGTCCTTGAAATTGACCGCAAAAGGGGGTTATATGCATTGGTGGTAACGGTCATACGTGTCACTCTTTGCAGGGGAGTGACCCCACCGGGATTTAATTCTTCTAGATTTCATGTTCATTATTGTCCAGTTCTAGCCAGAAGGGTGCTAACTTTGTGTCATAGAACAACATGTAGAAATATGAATTAACGCCCTTCCAGCTCCAAACAGAAGTTCTGTTCCATGCATATGTTCATGTATATGTATGTGAGAAGTCATCTTATATTTTCAAATCATGTTCTCAAATCAAATCCTTTCTTTAACAAAGAGATCACGAATGAACTATGGAGAACGGCTAATGACATTCATGTCACACTTCACTTATAAATAAACTATATTTGTCAACATCTATTGTAAAAATCAGCGAGCATAAAAAACATTCTTTGTTTGGAAACTTTATTCAGGGGGAATGTAATTTTGTTTTTCAAGTTTCCCAGGTATTTGTCTCAAGCAGCAGCAGTCGCACAATTGTTTACGCTTTGCCAGTTTAGTGATCGGTCTGTTATTCATGCTTTATGAATGCATTATGTTTCGAGGAGCACGGTAGCGTAGGAGGACGAAAACACTGTACTTCACACGTCCGCTCCTTGGCGTGACATTTTTCTTTAATCCCCGGGAAAAACAGTTGCTACCTCCCGTTGTCGTTTTGAAGCTGAATAAGCAAGGGTTGTTTAAATGTTTGATTTTGGGTGATTTTTCTTTTTATTATGCCACCTGCATTGCGCCATTGTGGTTTTGGATGCAATAATATTTTGAAACAGATTAAAAGTGTTTACTACAGTTGGCATTAGCCAGTTCAGATCACACCTAAAACATGAAAAAGGGTTCTCGTTGATTTATGTTAACAC